AATGGAGTAAGATCCCCAGCTTACTGCGTTCCCTTGAGTGGGACAGGTTTTTCCTCTCATTCGATGCACAGGAAGTAGCAGATAAATTTTATTCCAACCTAGAAACTTGTATTCAGCAAGCCACCATCCAACCAACCATAGTTGCGTTGAATAAAGCTAATAAAAACACCAAAACGAGGTTCGAAAGGAAACGCTCGAAGTTAAAGAAAGCGATTCAAAAAACCAGTGACTTCTCTCTAATAGATCGTCCTACGAGTGAAGCTAAAATGGCTAAAACGACTAAACTCATAAAACAAGAGCAAGCAGCCTTGAAAAACTCTAATAAAAATGTAGTCTTATCAAGAATATTTAAATCCCGATCGCCCAAACCAAGACTCTCTGTACCCCAAGTTATTTTAAAAGACAGTACTGTCTTAAACACACCTAAGACAATTGCGGAATCTTTTAGCGCAATGTTCGCCTCCAATCTCACGAATGAACCAATGCCAAATCCCCCAGCAATCCCGATACTCACTTCATCCACTTTATCCACGATCAACTTCAACCTAGAAGACATCACCCATTTAGTAGATAAAATCAAACCATCACGTCTCCCCGGCCCCGACTACCTCCCACCATCTATTCTCACGGCCTGCCACACAGATATACCCATTTTATTATTAAACCTATTTAACATTTCCCTCATGTGCGGGACTGTACCTTTATGGTAATTATACCAAGGCTCAAAAGAGGTTCCCCCCAGGACCAGGACAATTATCGACCAATCAATCACACACCAATAATCTTCAGACTAATGGAAAAAATTATTAAAAAACAACTGACTTCTTTTCTTTTATCTAACGGACTGATCAACGCTAAACAACATGGCTTTATCCAGAGTCGATCATGCACCTCTTGTCAACTAGACTTCATGGATCTCATAAGCAAGGAAGCTGACAAAGGTAAATCAGTCATAATTGTTTACTTAGAAATGACAAAAGCCTTTGACGGTGTCCCCCACAAAGCCCTTCTGGGCAAACTGAAAAGTTTCGGAATATCAGACCTTCTTACGTCATGGTTTTACTCATATTTTGAATCCCGAAAACAAGTTGTTTCGATTGACGGACACTTGTCAGAATCTAAACATACCACCAGTGGGGTTATTCAGGGTAGCGTTCTTGGTCCCGTATTATTCCTCCTGTATGTTAACGATATTTTCGAAGTTATTCGCACAGGAAACGCGTTTTCCTTCGCGGATGACATTAAAATAGTGTACACATTTAATCAAAATAACCTAATCTCCACTATTAATGATATAAATCTTGATTTGCTTGCACTTCACACTTGGTGTCAAACGTGGAAAATGGACTTTTCAGCAGAGAAAAGCTCCCTGGTTTCATAAAGGTGCCTCGTCCCGCCTAATTTCGTCACCATAGGCAAATTACCCAGTCCTATGAATACTTCCGTGAGAGACTTGGGGTATCAGCATTCCGGCTCGCTAAATTTTTCTGAACACTGTTCCCTGCAGGTCGCACAGGCTAACAGAAGTACAGCACTAATACACAGGAACTTAATCCTTAAAGACAGTAAACTAGGTGTATGCAACTTACACTTAAGACCTCTCCTGGAATACGGTTATTTTGTATACACAAACATGAACAAAAAGGACCTCGCAACTGTGGAAAGTGTCCAACGTCGATTCACGAAGAAACTGTTAGGCTTCAGCTCTACACTGACATCAAGATCGCTGCAATATACTTAAAATTGAGCCTCTGTGGCTACGAATAATAAAACTTAATCTTTGTTTTCTATATAAACTGATCCATCGGCAAACTT